TATAATTAAGTAAAGTATATTAAAATCAAAAGAAAAACATCACTTCTTAATTATTTTACTACTATTTATGCTCTTGCAGTTATTTGCTCTGATTCTCTTTGTATGGTGGAAATGACATGGTAATGTGCTACTGTTCTTCTTTCTGCAGCTCTACATTCAGTGACTTCATGTTGCTAGTTTGGCATTGGCCAAGATGGGAATATTTATACCAGGAGAACTGACAAACCCAACAAATTAGAGCTTTCTTTTTTCCTTTAAGAACTAGTTGTTAACATTTACAATCTACTGTGATATGAGAGCATAGAGGAAATTTGACTTTCAGTAGATCAGTCAGGGGAGAACTGTCTAAGGAGAGGTATTTTTGCCCAGAGTGAGAATGAAAATGAATTGACCTGTAACTGAGGCACCGAGTCTCATGCATAGAGATGAACATGGGCAAATGCTTTGAGTTGTGGTCATTTCTGGGCAGGAGAAAAAACTAATATGGTTGCTTATGAGTACATGTAGCTATGACCATGATAAGTAATGGGAAGAGGAGAGGGAGATGAGGTTGGAAAAGCTGGCAGGGGCCAGACAATGCAATTACATTTTACATTTTACTGAAGTGCAGCAGGAAGCCATAGGAGGGAGCAGGGTGGGGTTCAGGTGCCCACTAATGGTTCCAGCTGCAGCAGTGGTACCCGGCGGTTGGAGGGTACCACACTGCCTGACTCCCACCTCCATGCACTCCACATCTCTGCACATTCTGCTTCATGGCTTCTCCAGAACTATAGGGAGGATGAGTGGCAGGAAGCTAACTCTCTTGGGGGTAACCTTGAACCATGATACCATAGAACCTGGTGGATAGAAGCTCCAGTCTCTTGCTTTTCAGATAGCAAATTCTGCTATCTCTCTGTACACTTGCTAGAGGGAGGCCCTGGTGCACTCAGGCCCACTTTACCTATAGTAAAGACCTTTATATATTAGTCTTTTCTCCTTTCTCATCTCTTTCTTCCTACTTTCTCCTTCCTGTTTCCTGGATCATTTCCCACATCAGCTACCTGCACCAAAGTCCTTGTCTCAGGTTATGGTTTCAAGGGAGCTCAAACTAAGACTGAGGTTCACTTGAGGTTGATGTGAACACATTGAGTGTGGAACTAGCACATGAGGAATGATATGGCAGGGCCATTTCTACTCACTTAGATTCTTCTACCCATGGCTGGGTCATCTGTACTCTGATTTCAGGATTTCCCTTATCCTGGGTCCTAGAATCAGTCCTGACTGACTATGGACAGTCTAGTTTCTGTTCCAAGCTCTGAATGTGTCAGCCAGGAGGTACATTAAACCCAGCACTACAGTATGGGTACCATTCCAGAGGCCTCACTGCATTTTGTGTAGATACTCAGTTTTCATTCCTCCTGCATGGCTTGAGTCTGGCTCCTGATGCTGATTATCCTAGGCTAGCCCCTCCCTGCCTGGTTTCTGTCTCCTCCCAGGGATGTCCTCATTCTGTCTTCCACCTGATTCTGCCACATCTGCCACCTGGATCTAACGGTTTGGGGATCTCTCTGGAGCTCTGAGAATCCCATGTGGTGGCATAGAAAATCACCACACTGGCCATGTGCTTAAAGGAGCCATATCCACACAGATATACACTATGCAGGTACTTCAAGATGGTGGCATGGGAAGCTGACCCCATTTGTCCCACCCTGGGCCAAATAGGACACCCAGCATTACTTCTTCTTCAGTTTCTCCAGTTCAGCATGGGTTGTCAACACCCTACTCTCAGTAGGCTAAGTTAGTGTAGAGAGAAGGTCTGAGGCTAAGCCTCCTTGGATAGCAGCTAGCTGTAGGAGGTTCATATGTCTCAGAGCACAAGTGTCCTCTTCCTAATTCTTTTCCACTTTGTGCCCTCTGGCATAGGCTATCCTTCAGGACAAAAGCTGGTGAGTTGGTGGACCCCACTCATGCCTTTTCCCTCCTTCTCCTAGGGGGTCTGGCTCCCTTCCCCATCATCAGCCCCTCCCGCTGTTCCCATGTGAGGCTCTCCAGAACATTCTGACTCATCCTCTGACTCAGGTAGTCTATTTTTATTCCCACTACCTGCTTCCTGATTTGCCTGGAGATCACAGCTGTCACCTCTGTATATGTGTGTCTGTGTGTATGTGCCCATGTGTTCATTTTTTGCATGTGTGTGTACCTATAAAATGTATTGCTGCTATGTACATATGTATATGCATATGTGGGCTCATGTGTACACATGTGTTCATGTGTATGGGTATATTTCCTCCATGGGAGGGCAGCTCCTCTATCCTACCCCTACTTGTATGTTCACTCCCCAACCAACCAGGAATACACAAACTTCCTCCAAAGGCCCCTGGAAGGGTGACAGTGGGGGTTGACACAGGAAGCCTCAGCTCAATCCATTCCAAGATGATCATGTTATTAAAGGTGATTAGGACAAAGAAAGACCAACTTGATGACTCCATCTGGCCAACCCTGAATCTGGAATCTACACTGCAGAGATGGCAGAAATCTGGGAGCTGGAGCCAACATGTCATTTCATACCTTGAGAGCTTGTTTGGAGGTTCTAGCAGGGGAGTGCAGCTACTTGTATATCCTTGACCGAGGAAACAGTCTTCCTCTATCAGGGGTGGTCGTTCTGTCCTCTTCAACTGAGCTCGCAGCTTTCGGAGGGATGCACATAGAGCGGTGAGAGAGGAAGGGAACACCCACCTAGCCAGCCAGATCAGCGGAATCAACCCTGGCGAACAATGGGGTAACAGATGTTGCAGCCAGATTGCCCTCACATCCTGTCATTTGATACCTTGAGCCTAAAAGAGCCACACTGGAAGAATCATGCTCAAAATTAACCAGCAAGCAAATAACCAAGGTGGATTTGGGTGGTCATTGATTCTTGCCTTCAGCCAAGGCCAGGCTGCTCCATGCTCTCTCCTCTTGCCCCACCTCGGGCAGGACTCTCACATCTCTGCCAGGCCTGTGCTGTTCAGTGTGGTAGTCACCAGCCCCATGAAGCTATCAAACACTTGAAACATGGCCAATCCAAATTGAGATGTGTTCTAAGGGTGAAACATGTACCAGATTTCAAAGACTTAGTATAAAAAAATGGAAAATATTTTAATAATTTTTCTATTGATTACATATTGAAATAATATTTTAGATATATTACATTACATAAGATATATTATTAGAATTAATTTCATCAATTGCTGTTCAGTATTTAAAATGTGGCTACACTGTGTTGTGTGAGCTGGGGATCAAACCCAGAGCCTCAACAAAGTATTTTACCACTGAGCTACACTGACAGCCACCCACTCCCCTGTTGTTTTATATATAAAGTTTTGTTAAAACACAACAGCCTCTTTCATTTGCATGGTGGATGTAGGTGATTTTGCTCTGCAGTGGCAGTGTTGTGCTGGAGAC